GCGAACGCTGAGAAAGGTGAGGCGAAGGGAGTCCCAATTGATGAGTGAGTCGGCAGGCGCACATCCTTCATCGGCCATCGATTTTCTCGAGGACGATCAACACTCTTGCACGCGTGTAAGGTCCCACATCTTCACGTGCAACCTGCCCTACCGGGCTCGCGCCACGTACACACGTGGGCATGTACCGGGCGGCGAGAAAATTACAGAGCCCGTCGGACGGTTGCGGTCGGCCCGGCTACTGGAGGGAGGCGAGCCGACCACGGCGCACCGGAGGCGAACCCGCAATTTCCGAGACCGAGAAACGTAGGCACGGTCGATTAATACGCGAGCATTTAATTTACTCATTCACCGTTGCCGGGGCGAGCAACAAACGGGTCCCACACGGTGGTCCATCGTGTGGGCCAAGTGATGAGGCGTGCCGCGGATGCGGAGATCTTTCCTTTCACCGCACGCGAAATCGCGTTCGCGGTATCCTCGAACTTCCAGGGATCCAACTGGGTCAAATAGTGGGTGATTCGACGAACAATGACGTCCTGGTGACGTCGGACGAGACGATGTTTCAAACGCGCGCGGTTTGCAATTCCTCCCGTCGTACTGTACGAAAGTACGATGGGAGGTCCGTCCTTAATTCCCTCCTTAAAAATGTACTCAAAATGTACTCGAGTTTTTCCTTAAAATATTCAAAGGAACGAAATGGTATTGAATCCCAAGTGAAATGAATGTTCGTGCAAGGCAGCAAAGTAAGGCTACCTGTATTCTTTCCTTCCTAGGAACAGCAAATTCCAAAGAGTTACACCGCGCAGGTAATAAATCACAAATTCAGAAGGTAAAAATTCTCTTGTAACTGTATATCTGCTGCTTCTCCAGCTTTTTTCATTAACGTCATACGTACGATGCAAATAATTTTTATAAAATCATACCTCGTCTCGATGCTTCACGATGGTTCACGACGGTGACTGCAAGAAACGTGATAAGCGACTGATTCAATTTTAAGAGGCGTCGTGTAACGAACGACGCCGGACTCGACTCGGTCTCGCATGCGAGCCGATGTCGTTATAATCCAATTCCGTGCAAGGATACTCGCCGATTCGTCGGCGATCATCAATCTCCGTTAGGACGCGGGAAGAAACTCGGACAGCGAGAGGGCGGATGGACACCCGCTCAAGAAACCCCGCCGCCACCATTAACGCGACCGATCGAACAGACTTCAAAGCCCTCGCGTCTTTCCATCAAAGTGATAATGACACAAGTGCCGAGTTATCGTTGTTCTTAAAAATATTAATTAACTCTATGTGAAATCTTGGAGATTTTTCAATTTAAGAATACGCTTAAATTAAAATATTAAGATGAATGTTATTTGGAGCACAGACCTGATCAATTTCAATTGGCTGTCTTCGAAATTTAGTTTGTAGCATAACTTTTCATCATATATTCAGAATCCCGCTAATCAATCGAATGGAAAATGCAATTTGTGTGATAATAAGTAATTGCAGTAAATATTTTTTTCCAGATAGACATATATTTCTTGAACAAAGCATGCAAGGTTTATACTCCAAATTCTATTTATCACTCCTGATTTCTTAAGTGCTTGTTACGTTAATTACTTAGGGCGGTAAGTGTTATTGAGATCTCTCACCGTCACCTAGTTTAACGTCGTCTTCGGAATCGCGACCCCTGAGAAGTCGAGAAATCGCGGACACGCTCGGCGCGCTGGTCCGCTCGCAGATGCCCTCTTTGATCAGCCGATCCCTAATTTCCCACGAAAACATACCCGGATTGTCCCGCTTATACTCTTCGATTCTTGCCTCCACTTCCGGCGTGGCTACACGTGGTTTGCTTCCACCGATGACTCCAGGTCTGATGCTACCAGTTTCTTGGTAACGGTTTAGAATCTTCGACACACATCCGTGGGACACTCTCAACTGTCTGTCCTCCGGAAAGCGTTAAAAAAAAATATACGGATCAGTTTAGATTCAATTTGTAAAATTATTTGCAATTTATAAATCTGTATTTTTATAGATTATATATATATATTTTTTTTATAAATCTTTGCAAATATATATTTTTACAAATTTATACCTTTATTAAATTTATATTTTTACAAATTTATATCTTTATTAAATTTATACTTTTACAAATCTATATTTTTATTTTAAGATACCAGGTGCAATTAGTTATCCGAAAAGATTTAATACGACACCTTGATATAACGCACGGCCTGATCCCCGCTGCGGCCATCTCGACGATTTTCAGTCTGATGTGATTAGGCAGCGGTCGCCCGTTGATGAAGACTCCACCGAGCTGATTTACGCGTCCCTGGCCTGGTATCGATCCGATGTCTGCAACAACAAACAGTGCCGCTTTCTTTCACATTCGTCCCCATAATCAAGGCAGATGCCACTAATTTCACTAGGTGTTAACGACATTCGATTTTCCCTTCCGAATTATTTTTTTTTTTTCCTCTCCCATTTCAATCGCGTTTGCGGAGGTTGCGCGATTGAGCAATCGTCCTTCGGTCAGCTTTGATTTCCGTGCCTACCGGAAGTCGAGAAAAAAGAGGAAAAGAGAGAGAGAGAGAGAGAGAGAGAGAGAGAGAGAGAGAGAGAGAGAGAGAAGAAAGCGCACGGTCCAGGAAATAGAACCATTGCGATTTTTATTAGGCGCGTAGTTGTTTTAACACTGTAAATTTCTTGAAGGAACGAGCAATTTTATAACGTCGATACGCGATTTTTCATTGCGAATGTCTTCGTTTTGGGATTCTTCGCGAATTTCTATCCTGGTTATCCTCCGGTCGCTCTAAAGAACAGAACTCGTATTTTAAAGCGATAAAATTACAATTGAGAATAAGAACGGTGAGAACGAAACGAACGAGTTGTACTGATTGGATGAGTGAAAAAAGAGACGCGCAATCGCGTGTTCGAACATTAAGGAAAAACGCGCTCGCTCATACAAGACGATAATCGACGGGAAAAAAAAAAAGAGTATCTCAATGACAGCGCAACGAAAAATCAGATCGTCCAGGCGAGACGGCGATCGGCGTGCTTTTATCGTTAATAGCTTATTGTTGTTACAACACGCTACGTATAGTGTTAACGTAATCGACTTATTAGCTATTGATCTTATTCATACCAAGCGGACTTAAATATCGATGTTTTAACAGAGCGCATTGTGCAACAAGAGATCTCCTGGCTCATGACGATAAGAGTATCAAAATTTCGCCGAAGGATTTATAATAATAATAACAATACATGAAACTTAAAAACAAATAATTAATCGATTTGTAATAATTGCTTATAGCGTTTAGCGTTCACGAGAAAAGGAAAGTCTCCTCATTATTTTGCGTGACGTTTTTTAAACTATTACATGTAGACAAATTAACAAGTAAACACGCTGCGTCATCAGAAGATTAGATAGAAAGAAAAAAACATCTTCCTTTAGGAATTTTATAAAATTGGACGGAAGTATAAATCGGTGTATGCAATCACTCGATGACCGTCGATATGCTAAGTAAATATTACTTGTGTCAGTGTATCGATGCAGATTAAATTAATTCTGCGGTTTTCAACGCCTACCGCGTTGGCAAATTATTAATCGTTTACAGAGAGAGCTCGCGGCGAGAAGGAAGCGGATGACTGATCCCGCGGCTTTCACTTTTCCAATCCGGGTGCAAAACGTCGCCTGGTAAGCAAATCTTTCGCTAACAAGAAGAATTATAAAAGCATTAATTCGCAATGAAATAATCGGGACCGATCGCGCGCGCGCGAGAGAGAGAGAGAGAGAGAGAGAGAGAAAGAGAGAGATAAAGTAACGTGCAATGTTGCACTTTCACAATCGGAAAAAATCTCCCGTAGCGGAGATATGGAAATGATGGCCTCATCATCGTCGTCATCGTCGTCGTCGTCGTCGTCGTCATCGAGAGGCGGGAAACGCGACTGGGTACGGTCACACGCTTTCGTTCGTAATTAAACACATTTCCGCGTAAAACACTTTGTCGCTCGAGACAAAGGGTAGGCGGACTTCGGTAAAAAGCGCTCCGCAGAAAAAGGAAACCGCTATCCGATTGCGCAGAACGCTTGCATAACCGTAGCCATGCATCGTCGCCGCGGGTGCAATCGATGCTCGAAAAACCGCGCGTACGTCCGCCGATAACGATCTCGCTCCCGCGGAGCAGCTTCCGCTCCGGCCGATTGTTTAATTAATAAATCGGAGCTGCGTGAAAATTTCATTAATCTTAACCGGGCTTTCAGCATCTCGGCCTGGCCTCTCAACTCGAGCTAGCTCGCTTTCCAGAAGGAGGAAAAGCTTCTGCTCAGAAAACCGCGGCGCGACTCATAAATCATCATAATGACGGAATCATGGAGGCAAAAAAAAAGAAAGAAGAAGAAGAAGAAGAAGAAAAAAACCTGCGCACCGCGACGAAGTAATTAATGACCATCATTGAAAACTCTTCTGCGTGGATTTTACGGAAGCGCATTCGTTGAGTCGAGTGCTAATCGTCCGCCATCATTTACCGCCGTGATTTCCGCGAGCACACGCGCTTTCGCATCTCGCTTCCAACTGGCAAATCATCAAGCGGCTAATTGCACGCGCTAATTACGCCCGGGACATCGCGCGCTCGGACACTTGACAAATCGTGTTATTTAATTTTACAAACCTCGTCATTAAACGCACCTCGTCTGTATTTTTTTGTTCGTGACGGAACGATACGTCCGCGGAACTTTTTTTTCCTCACACCTTTTTTTTTACTATCCTGGGCGCAAAAGATGCAAAAGACACCTCGGAGAGTTGGACAATGGTAAAATTTACGACGATAATAAATGACAAGTCGAACAAAATCCAGATACATAGAAAAAAATCGTATTTTATAATCTCTCCGTTTCGAATGAGAGATGCTCTTACTGTTTCTGAAGCAAACAAATGACTAAATAATTATATAAATTTTATGAGAGATATCGAGTTTAATTTATTAATCAGCAATTTTGTTGAAGATGTACAAATTGTATTTTCCTGTTTTTCCGAGAGAGATAAAATTCCAAGAAGAATTGAGCGTGCATGATCGGACCCTAAACGATTGACTGACGAGGACGAATAACACGATAAATCAAATCACGGACAAACACATAAGAAAAGTAAATGTCTAGTGTATATGAACTGTAAGTACATATGTTATGAAAGAGACAGAGAAAAAGGGTCATAAAGAGAGAAATACAGAAGATTGTTTGAAAGATTAACTGAAGCGACTGAAATAAATGAAGGAAAATATATTTTTAATAATTTATCAAACTCCTACATTTTGATAAATTATGAAAAAGTTCTCTCTATCTAAATTGCAAGGGAACATTTCATTTAGTTAGATATTCCTATTGTTAGAGCTTTTCATTTTCTTTAGACAGCACAAAATCTCGGAATGTAATGAAGAAAAAGACAGATACCATATAAATATGAATAGGTCAAGGATAGAAGTCAAGAAAAATGACTTTCTCATTTTTCTTAAGGCGTTGTCACAGCAGATACTCTACAACTCATTGTGCTTTTAACTTTGATGTTTCGCTCGGTTTGGAACTATTGCCAGTGTCATATGAATCTTTTGAGAAAAATCAAGGGAAGATCTCATTTTACAATGGAAAGATTTAAGGTACTAATTCGTATTTCAAGGCTCACTTATATGAATAGTTTTCTATATTGACTATAATTTTTCTTCATAATGCAATACTTTGTCAAAAAAATAATTAATAAAGACAATACTACAATATTAATATATACTATAAATAAAGCACTAATAATTTTAGCAAAAAGCACTAATAATGCTTATATATAATTAATATATAATTAAAGCATTAATAATTAAATAATTAAAGCACTAATAATTATTATTCTCATTTTTTTAAATCTGGGATTATTTTACTTAATATTGCTTTAATTTTTTACTATCGCGTTTAATGCAAAATTTTTTACCAAGATTTAAGATAATAAAGATACAATTTTGTAGATCAAATAAAGAATCTCTTTGAATCTCTATGTCTCTATCACTTAAATATCTATTATTAAAATATTTCTTTCATATTAATTAACTACTTAGAGATAATATTAAATCCAAATGTAATGATTATGCAATCTAAGAAAATGAGAATACTATTCAGGTTGTAAAACTAATGCGAGCACCAATCCTACGAATTTGCGAAAATATTGTTGGTTGAAGAATTTCAACCAACTGCGACGGAAAGACAAACCTTGAAAGGAATATCCAGTGAAACATGGTCGCATCATCGAGAAATTAGTGGTAGTAACCGTCATTTCAGCCGAACCAAACCACCGCAAGACAATTTCGATGAGTTCGCTCCAGCACCGAGTATCGCAAACGTCACTACCGCACCTCACCAAGCCATCCGGTAAAAACCGTAATATCGACCGTCCTCCTCCGCCCGATTAATCTCACAACGTCTCTCTTCTTACGTCTCGCCTAACAATTCACCAAACGATTCGCGCAACGGTACATGCAAATAAACACAAGTCGTACAAATGTTCCTGGTCTGCTGGATGAGTACATTGATCGGGTCCATTTAATCCCGGAACTTCGGCTCGTGGTACAGGCCCGTCGGGCCCAACCGCGAGCTCTTCTCTTTCCTCGTCTCTTTTCCCCGACAGATCCGAGACGCGATGGCCGCGATCACCTCGTGTCTGTGTCGCACTGAAATGGATGTGTCGACTGATCGGCGCGCTGATCCTGACTAAGTCTCTCGGGGATGGGGTATCGGGGTAACTAACGGCCGGGCACTCCCACCAATCTCCGATACCACAGGTAGCACTACCCGGGTGTGCTCGCGCACCCGGGTACGTCGTCCACATGCTTGCGGTAGAATTGGATGGTACGGCAAGACAAACCCACGGTCCTTGGCCACTGGTGCCCATCGTCGCCGGCGACCAATCGTCGCACCGTAAGAGCCTTTCGCCACGCCTCCGATTCACGCCCAAATAATACCGGACGATGGGCACAGTCTTAGGTCGACTTTATTGCCGCGCTTTTACGAGCACGCTCCATGCTTGTACACCGTGTTCTCGTTGTTCCTCGATGAGCACAAGCTGAATGGGTCAAATTCGTTTGTTGTTTCTTCCACCTCGCTGTCGCGCAATCATTTTTCTTTATCATTCGCTCAGCCGCGATTATAATAAGCATCGAATGATCCTCCAAGGTTGCTCTCTGTCAGAGAGAGAGATCGATGAAAATTCTCTTAATGCCGGAGATGAAACCGGAGATTCATCATATCAAAAAGAGTGGAAGTAATTCTGGATATAAAAGGATGGCAATGGAATTTTCTTCTATTATTACGCCATAAGTACACATTCGAAATTCAATATCTAAACATTTGGGTGTTTATTAGTAAAAGGATACGTAAAATTTTCTTTCCTCTTGCGATTAGTATGACGCAACATTATAAAAAAAAAAACAACAAAATTAA